TTATAGACATCCTGTTTATCACTTACGCTCGATTTGCATGGTTAGCCGTATGTTTGGTTGACCGCTTTTTTTATGCCAAATTGCTGTTTGCTGGCTATTCATGTCAGAATAATCTAAATTGATGACTCATTTTGATCATAAATTATCTTTGTAATTTGTTTGAGTTCGCGGTGTATATAACTTTTTCTTTGTTTCGATCGACTTTATCAATTGAATCCTTCAGTTAAAGCAGGTGTCAGATTGCATCAGCAGTGGAAAATCGAAAATAAGTAAATCGTAAAGAGTACAAAAATAAATATCTTTTTATCAAGTTGCTCTGATGAAGAGCTGTCGTTATGGATTTCAAGCATTTTTGCGGATTTCATTCGCGAGGAGATTGAAGTTAAGATTACCCCTTTTGTGAAGTACTTTGGATTACGGATTTAAATGAAAACAAAATGCCTCGCCACTAATTTTAACAATTATATTTCAATCTTTCCTTCGTTCGCTTTGGTTTATTTGATATGTCTCAACCATTCGAAGCAGGAGAATTCATTAAGATTTCATGAGGCAATTTTGGTTCTATCAACTGAGATGATAAAATAAATTGGCCACCGTAAAGATTTCAAAGCTGACAAGCGTTAGCCCTTCGTCAAATCGACTAGAGAAATTGTGGGTTGGGTGTGGGTGTCTAAGCAGAAAATGGAGCCACGCTATTGGTGGGAACATGGCAACAAGAAAAACAAGAATAAATTAGTTAAATGAAAAGCGTTAGTTGATACCGTGCGTATTAAGAGTGCCGATTTGAAAGTGTTTAGCGACTGGTTTGGATGCGTCCTTGTCATACGTTTCTGCGTCGCAAAGGTGTTCTCGGAATCGGTCACGTAGAAGTCTTTCGGTTTCACGAGTGTATATATATTTTTTGCAATAAGAGCAAGTTATGCAACAGATGACATTGACAGAGGTCCACGTGGAGTGATCAGTAATCTTAATGGACTATCTGCTTAGGTCCCGATATTTTCTCAACGTCATGATTGAAAGGACAAGTTTTGCAGTACATTGTGCGAGCGCATTTAAAAGTTCCGGGTCAGTCATTAGTTGGTAGTAAACTCCTGACCAAAAAGTTGCCCATGTTTTTGTCGGTTTGAAAGAAATAAGTGTAGTTTGCTAATAGATGGTATCAGTTTCTGGGTCATTTTGAATCAATTTAAAAT